GCCGAGTTGAAGAAGCAGGTCAGAGAGCTAACAGAAAAGCTACGGTTGGCGGAACAAGGAACAGACAGTGCCCGGAAACAAGTTTTAGTTTTGGGATCGCAGATAAAGGCTGGGCCTTTTGGAACTGTCAAGAGTTTGAGAACTAACCCAACAGTACTTTCCGATGAATCGGTTAACCCAAGACTGGCAAAGATCTTAGAGAAGGTAGCTGTGGGGAAAGAGCTCATTGTGGTTCTTGCAAATTCAAATGTTAAGGCAATGCTCGAGGTGCAGATTGCCAGTATAAAGAAAGTGGGTATATCAAACTATCTAGTCGTGGCATTAGACGACAACATAGAAGAGTTCTGCAAATCGAATGATGTTGCATATTACAAGAGAGATCCAGACAAGAATGTGGACTCAATCGCCAAATCTGGAGGTAACCATGCTGTCTCTGGATTGAAATTCCGTATCTTGAGGGAGTTCTTGCAACTTGGGTATGGTGTTCTTCTCTCGGATGTGGACATAGTCTATCTGCAGAACCCGTTCGAGCATTTATACAGGGACTCTGATGTGGAGTCCATGAGCGATGGCCATGACAATAGAACGGCGTATGGCTTCAACGACGTGTTTGATGAACCAGCCATGGGATGGGCTCGTTATGCTCACACGATGAGAATTTGGGTCTTCAATTCCGGGTTTTTCTATCTAAGGCCCACCATTCCAGCCATAGAACTGCTCGATCGTGTGGCTGACAATGTGGCTCAGACAAAGGCGTGGGACCAAGCGGCATTCAACGAGGAGCTGTTCTTCCCTTCGCATCCCGGCTACACCGGACTGCACGCCTCCAAGAGAGTGATGGATATGTACGAGTTCATGAACAGTAAGGTCCTTTTCAAGACTGTGAGGAAGAATCCTGAGCTGAAGAAGTTGAAGCCTGTGATTGTCCATCTGAATTACCACCCAGATAAGCTCGGTCGAATGCAAGCCGTCGTGGAGTTCTACGTTAACGGCAAGCAAAACGCTCTCGATAATTTCCCAGATGGTTCTGATTGGTAAAGATATCCATCAAATCATCGCCCTTTTTCCTTCTTGATTCCATGTTTATCCTTCTTGGGTTTTGGTTTTTGTACTATGAATTTTTGTATCTTATAGCTTTAAATCTCAGAACTTTCACTTTTTTTTTGGACAGTAAGTCTGTTTTTTTTTCTCCTCTATTAATCTGGGACATGGAATATTTACCAGAAAGATCTGTGGAAGAAGGCAATCATAATACAGCTCTTGATCATCTCCTGATCACAAAATCTACAAGAGAGACAAAAAAGACAATGGAGCATCAGGACAAGACAGATTGAGGCGTTTGGCCATAACTGTGTTATCCACAAATTCTCCAGACTGATAGCAAACCAACCTTTGTGGCTCCAATTCGAATCAAAATCTATCTCTCTCTCTCTCTCTCTCTCTCTCTCTCTCTCTCTCTCTCTCTCTCTCTCTCTCTGTTCCATTCCATTGAATTCCTCGAGGAAAAAGAGACCCAGATAACAAAATACAGAATCACTGGGAAACAGTTTCGATCGAAAACGTAGGCATTTCAGTTTCTGTTCCGATTTTTCCCGCCGATTTTGGCATTGCGATCTCAACTTCAGTATGAAGAGTGTTCTTCTAGATTCGAGTTCGAGTTCTGCTTTGGTTAACCTGACCACAGATGACTCCGACATCGACTTCGCCGACGTGTTCGGTGGCCCGCCGAGGAGACGGTCCTTTCTCCACGACGTCATGCGCAAAATATGCCGATATTTCAGTCAAAGAGTTTGTTAGCAGTTAGCATATAATCAGGGATACTTTCATAATTGTGATTTGGTGTATCATTCTATTTCCTATTTCTCCTCTCACGTAAACTGTATATAGCACCATGTACTCTCTCATTTGTAAGTCAAGCAATTATTATTTTTCCAAATCACCACAGAGTTTGTATGGATTTCTTGTTATCTTTCTCTAATTCTTTAATTATTAATTTTTGCAGAATATATTTTTCCATCTGCTTAAAAATAAAACCGTAAATAACGGGCGAATATTCATATTCTTCGAGAGAAGCTCATTGGGCCAAAGCAGGCATCTAGTTGGGCTTTTGAAGCCCATCTAAGCTGTCCTCAATGGAGAAAGCCGCACAGAAAAATATCTTCCTACGAACCCTAATTTCTAAGAAGGGGGGAAATTTTTCGTAGAGGGTCTGATAGAATACATCAAACGCTTCCCTTGTTTGACACTGGTTCCTGATTCTGGAATCGATTTCCAAATCCGTTTTTTTTTTTGGTGAAGCTATTTTACTGGCTGAATCGAACCTGATTCGCTGCCTAAACCGTCTTTTTCTGGTGGATTGGAAGCTCGGGAGGCGAATATAAAGCCTATCCATTCGTTTTTCGCTAATGATAAACAAGGTTTGTCAGCTGATGTTCTGTCCATGTTTATTTCAGCTGGTTTCGGATTTGGTTTTTTGATTCTTGTTACATTGCAGGAGAATATGTAATAGCGAATGAAGAATCGAGAGAAGGTAAAAGCAGAGCCAAGAACGCGAGACCATCCAATGGAGATTCAAAAAGCAGAAAGAAACCACAAGGACAGAGAAGCTCTTCAGACAGGACAAAGATCGAGAAACCGAGCTTTCCCAGCTCATCCTCGAAGACAGAAGAAGTTAACGGAGACAGGGTGAAGGGAAAAGTGAAGGAATTCATTAAGGTTTTCAGCCAAGGAGCTTCAATCGGAACAGATGGCGAATCGCTTGGACAGAGCTTTAGATGGAGAGCTAAGGAAAACACTGCAGGGACTGATCTCAACAAGACTATCGATGAACAACAGAAACCGAATTCAGATTCTACTGCCATGGTATTTATGCTTCGGTCTTGAAAATATCTCGATATATATCTTCCTGTATCATTGTTTTTGCAATTCTTTATCTGTAATGTTATTGCAGGATCAGCATCCTCCTCAAGTGCGGGAGAAAAAGGATTCAGACATGGAGAACATGGAGAGCGGGACTCACGGTGTTTCAGGGCAAGAACGGAGACAAGAACAAAGCACAGGTGGGTTCTTGAATGGTGCATTGGATTGAAATCAGCTAACAACAACTAAAACTGTCCTGAAAGCATTGATTTTTTCGTTTTGTCAGAGCATAATGTTCATGAGGATACGGACGAGCCGTTCGATTTGAATTTCCAGGTAGCGGAATCAGAATCATTACTTCTACATTCAATAGTGCCCCCGTTCTTATGTTTCTACCGAGAATTTGAGCCGAGAATAACTGTTTAGGTGAAGGAGATAACACAAGATGAAGACAAACCCGAGAAATCCGGTGATGATGCTGACGAAATCCAGGTAAAACCTCTGCAACACCTTCACCTATATTCATCCAAAGAATGCTTCGAATTTTACATACCGAAAGTTTTCGAGTATATGCAGATCATTGATGCTAAAATCAGAAAGTGGTCGCAAGGAAAAGACGGGAACATACGTTCGCTCCTGTCGACATTACAATACGTAAGTGATTTGCTGTAGCATTCCCTAACCGTCCACATGAAATGAAATGTTTGAGATTCCTTGGTCCGCCCGATATGATTACGGTTGCGGAGAACGTGAGCAGATTCTTTGGCCCGGGAGCGGATGGAAGCCGGTGCCACTGATGGATATGATAGAGGCGAATGCGGTTAGAAGATCGTACCAGAGAGCGTTACTGATTCTCCACCCGGACAAGCTGCAGCAAAAGGGAGCTTCCTCCGACCACAAGTACATTGCAGAGAGTGTTTTCGAGTTATTGCAGGTCAGTGTCTTTGGTTATTTCATCAATGATAATAATACCACCACCATAATCCCGGTTTGGTATAACAAAAACCATGAATTCAGAAGCGATATTAATGTCATTAGGCCATATTATATATATATATATATATATATACACATATATATTCAAGGAGCCGTTGCTCGAGATGGAATTGAATTTTGTTGTAAATAATTTTTGTTTGTGGATATTATTCAGGAAGCGTGGGATTTCTTCAACTCGGTCGGACCAATTTGAGAGAAAAAAGGGTATTTGCGGTTACAAAAGGACAGTATATATACGATTAAGTGTACAGAGAGATATATTCCAAAGTTTGCAAATTTTTATTTCACAAAGAAGGAAAAATTACTGCTGCAAGGAAGAAGATGTCAACAATTGTGTCGAAACCCTATATATCTATGTGTCATTGGGGGTAGGGGTGAGCGTTTCGGGTTTCGGTTCGGTATTCAAGCGGTTCGGTTCGGGAACGGTATTTTCGGTTTTATAAAAAGTGTACCAAACTAGAACCGAATGTTAAACGGTTCGGTTCGGTTCGGAACGGTACCATTATATGAATACCAAATAAGTACCGAACTATAATATTTATACATATATTAGTGGAATATTCGAATTTTGGTTTGGAATTCATACGGTTCGGTTCGGTATTCATACGGTTCGGTTCGAGAATGGTTCATTCGGTTCCATAAAAAAGTGTACCAAATTAGAACCAAACGTTATTCGGTTCGGTTCGGTTTCGGGACGGATCGGATCAGTACTAAATTCCCGAACCGAAGTGCCCACCCCTACTTGGTGGAATCAAAAGATTTTTTTTTAAAGTACAAAAGATTTTTTTGGACCTTTGGTTTGGTTGCGGATAAATTAAAAGTTCCATGGAAAGGAAGAAGAGCAAAAGTAATGGAAGATGTATTTTCAAAGGAAAGTTAACTGCATCTCAAATTTGGTGCGAGGAGACGTATTAATTATTCGAACCATATTATTTGTTAAAAACATGTAAAAATAAACAGTTTAAGAAAACTGATTAATTATTACAATAAAAATGTGATAATAAATATGTTCAATTTTTTTGTTTGTTTGTTTGTTGTTAGTTGCGGGAAAGAGGTTGTACGTCTTAAGTGAGTGGGAGATAGATTCAACTGAGTCATAGAAAGTAGGAGTGGGAGCCGGTATTTTCGACTCGCGGTGGTTGGATATAAACGCGGATATTCCTTGTACGACGAAGATGTAGATGAATGCGATAAAGCTGAAAATTCGAATTGCAGATACGGGTTCGGGTTTTTTAATGGCGACGAGCATTAATAAAATGACATTTATATCTTTGACATTTTAATGTATTTATAATAATATTTAAATATACTTTTAAATAAAATTATCAAAATATCTTTAAAATCAATAAAAATTAACGATTTTTTTTTCAAGATTTTAGCGGATTCAAATATCCTTGAAGGGTATCATGAATTCACGAAGACAAAAACGAGATGATATTTTTCTTAAAACTACGAAGACGAAAACGAAGTATTCCTTTAGAAGTCAGGATACGCGACCGTTGCCACCCACGCGTGTAACGCTGAAAGCATTTGATCCACGTGATCTAGAGGATTTCATCAATGAAAGAGAAGACACTCGGTGGTTGTGGTGGCTCTTTATCCATATTTTTGTAATGGATAAAAGGACGATCGAACAGAAATTTTGATGGGAATGAACGAGCTAATTTATTAAAAAAAAAAAAGAAGATGAGACACTTGCATGAAAAAAAAAAAGTATATTTTTTGTGTAAACCCGCAATTTTTTTTACATATAGTTAACATATTAAAATTTTAAAATTATTTTGGTACACTTTTGAAGGACGGTCTTTTTAATTTTTCCTTTTACCAGACATAATATAATAGGTAAAATGGCAAATAAATACATCGATTTTTTAATTTCTTACTCATAAATACATGAACTTGTAATCTCCCAACAAAATACATCAATTCACAATTTTCTGGTAAATTAGTACACAGACACTAACACCGTTAACTTTGTAACAGTTTCCGATGAACGGTGCTGACGTGGTTCGCCGGATTTTCCGCGGCAGCGCCACATGTCAAACATTTTTTCACGTCATTAAAAAATTAAAATTAAAATTAACATCTTAGGATTATATATCTACAAACAATTCGTATGAAACAAAAGATGGTGGGACGATGAATATCCAATTCTGGGAGAAGAATGAATCATGAACTTACATCAACACAACATCTGAGTTGTCCTATTCTTCAACTTCAACCATGTGCCCTGCTGTTTCCAAGTGTGAGCTCCAGATCCTCCATGCTCACATCGTGTATCCTCTCCCCCTTCCCATGGCTTAACCCTTTCCCATTCTCTAGTTCAAATCCCGAGCTCCAACCCATTTCTTGAAACAGAGCAATTTGCTGAGGTGTGGGTTTCACCAGATTGAAGATTGGCGTCCAGGAGCTAGGATATGGTTGCTGAGCGAGTTTTGCAAAGCTTATCCAGCGACCGGAATCAACAGTGGAAGATTCAGAATCATCACATCCAGGTATATATATATATATATATATAGGGAAAATGACATATATACATATGCCAAATTTGTAAATTTTAATTTTGAATTTTTGATTTTGAATTTTTTGAATTTAATTTAAAATTTTATTTTTACAAATTTATAATTTTGTAATTTTTATAAATTTTAAATTTTAAATTTAATTTTTTTAAATTATTTTAAAATAATTTTTATTTTAAATGAAATTAATTTTAATTTTTTAATGATGTGGAAAAATATTTCACATGTGGCGTTGACGTGAAAAATCCGGCGAGCTATGTCATCATCGTTCACCGAAAACTGTTACAAAATTAACGGTGTTAGTGTCTGTGTACTAATTTGTCAGAAAATTACGAATTGATGTATTTTGTTGGGAGATTATAAGTTCATGTATTTATGAGTAAGATATTAACAAATTGATTTATTTATTTGCCATTTTCCCTAATATAATACTACCGAAATATTTTGAAAACTTTCAATTTTACAAAAAAAAAAAGAAAGAAAGAGAATGGCAGTGAAGGTTGAACTGATAAGCAAAGAAGTGGTAAGACCAGCCTCACCAGCACCTCGTCATTTTCGAGCGCTTCAACTTTCTCTGATTGATCAAATGACGATGAATAATTACATAGACGCCATCTTCTTCTACGACAAGACTTCTGACCAGAACCAGACCGTTGTTTCCACGGCACTCAAGAACTCTCTGTCCGAAACCCTAACCCGTTTCTACCCACTGGCCGGACGGATGGAAGGTGGTGCCTCGGTGAACTGCAGCGACGAAGGAGCTTTGTTCACGGAGGCTCGAGCTGACGTCATCCTCTCGGACTTTCTGAGATACCCTAATGCTGATTCGCTCAACCAATTAGTCATGGATCCTTCTGATTCGTTGGATCCATGCACGTGGCCGTTGCTGCATGTGAAGGTCAGTTTCTTCAGAAATGGAGGAGTGGCAATCGCCGTCAGCCTCTCTCACAAGATTTTCGACATGGATTCATTCGTAAGGTTTGTTCGTAGCTGGGCTGCTACTGCCCAGGGGCGTTCTGGTACAGTGGAGAGACCTGAGTTCATTGCCTCGACCTTCTTCCCTCTTGCCGATCTTTCATTGGAGGTCCGTCCAGATGAGAAACCTGGCGGGAAATACACGACAAGAAGATTCGTTTTCAGTCCGTCCAAGATTAAAGAGCTCAAAATTCAGGCCGCGAGCGAACAAGTGCCGGATCCTACACGCGTGGAAGCAGCCATGGCGGTTCTGTTCAAAGCCATAAAAGCATCAAGATCGAACGACAAACTCATGATGCTGCACGCCATTAACGTACGGACAAGAATTCCTCCCACCCTTTTGGCCGAAAACGCGACTGGGAATTTCCTCCACATACCTTTCCTAGACGAAACCTCGAAAAGATCAGAGAGTGAAATCCGTCAGACAGTTTCCAAGATAAGGAAAACGAAGGAGGAATTTAGCAAGATGATCAAAGGGCATCTCCAAGGGACGAGAACGATCGAGGAACTCGGTGAAAGGATAGCACTTGAGGTTTTTAGCTCGGCCCGTAAGTTAAGGAAGGAGATGATGAACACGGTGATAACGAGCAGTTGGTGTAGAATGCGAATTTACGAGGTCGATTTCGGATGGGGAAATCCAGTTTGGGTAGCTAATCATTATAGCGAGGCGTCACGGATTTGCGTATTGGCCGACACAAATGATGGCGAAGGCGTCGAAGCATGGGTTCCATTGCCTGAACGAGACATGCTCAGGCTCGAACACGACAAAGGGTTGCTTGCTTTTGCTACTCCGAACCCTAGCGTCTTGATCTAGCTTTCCAGTTACCACCAGGGCTTGCCTGATGGAATATAATAACATGTAAAATAATATCAGAAAATTATAATTATTTCTGGGTATCATCAGACTGTACTTAGATTCAGCGGCCTACATCGGTATGAAAGAATAAGAAGCTTACAAGCGTCTGAGGCATATATATATATATAGCATACATCTTAGGATTATATATCTACAAACAATTCGTATGAAACAAAAGATGGTGGGACGATGAATATCCAATTCTGGGAGAAGAATGAATCATGAACTTACATCAACACAACATCTGAGTTGTCCTATTCTTCAACTTCAACCATGTGCCCTGCTGTTTCCAAGTGTGAGCTCCAGATCCTCCATGCTCACATCGTGTATCCTCTCCCCCTTCCCATGGCTTAACCCTTTCCCATTCTCTAGTTCAAATCCCGAGCTCCAACCCATTTCTTGAAACAGAGCAATTTGCTGAGGTGTGGGTTTCACCAGATTGAAGATTGGCGTCCAGGAGCTAGGATATGGTTGCTGAGCGAGTTTTGCAAAGCTTATCCAGCGACCGGAATCAACAGTGGAAGATTCAGAATCATCACATCCAGGTATAGTAGCTGGGGTATAGAACTGGCGATGGGTCGGACTGACAGGTGCAGAAGCCGTGTAGAAAGGGTAACTAAAGGACGCAATGGCCATGGATTGCTTAGCAATGCATTCCCAAGTGGGGATCTGTTCGGGGTTTCCAGAAGTCGGGGATGATATGATATGGGTGGAGTAACAGGGGCACTGTTCAAGATTCCAAGGAGAGGAAGCGATGAAGGAAGGCCGTTTCTGAGGAACGGGAAGAATGTGGAGACGTTATTTGGTTCGCCATGAAAAGGGCTCGGGAAAGACGAGGGTGACGGGCTAACTTGGTAAGAAGGTAAAGGGCTTGGAAAAGCCGACGAAAGAGGGCTCAGGTTTTGGGACAAGCAGAGGTTCCGGCTATATCAGGCTTGCATCCCTGGTGCTCAAACAACCAAACATTACAATGTCACAATGTCACAATCACAGAAGGAGAATTATGCGAAGGCTTTGAATCAAACATTTTGATACACAAGCAATGGACTCATAACTACAATATTTTCCCATTAAGATCTACTAGAGAAATACTGCAAAGAAAAAAAAAATTAAGTAATGAGGTTTCCGAATTCTCCTAAAAGGCTAAAAGCTATTTTAGATATCTAGATCCTGTAGGTCATAAAGATCCTAAAATACAAAGAGGCAAAAACCACTCAGAAATTAGAACAAACCCTAAATTTGCTTCTCCGAATCAAAATCCGAAACGAGACCCATCAATGAAAGTAGTCGTTTATCCAATGAACTTCAGCTAAGATTGCTGTTTCCATAACTGAAAATCTCGAATTCGCTCTCGCCGTCAAAAACAAACGGATCAAGTTAAATCGAGAAAACCCATTTGAGCCAACGAGTCCAAACTCCAGATTCAACAGCAAAAACACCAAAAACAACATCAAATAAGCACAAAGAGCCCTGAGCACCTCATTGTTGTCGCAATGTTTGGACAGATGGTAACTGCCCTGAGTATATCTTCGCGGCTACGGCTCTTTTTCGCCTCTCTCTCCTCCAATTGTACTCCTTCCCTCCACGATGGCTTCTTCCGCGACGCCGCCGCTTCCGGAGACATCGACGTTGCCCCGTCCGACGTCATTCACCGGTAAAGCCCGACGCGGATCGAAACCCGATAACTTGATCCGCAAACAGATGAAATAGGTTGCTGTGGATTTCGCACGCAAGAGAAGAGTGAGTAGTGATGTCCAATTGGGTTGACCCATCTCAATCGGATCCAGCCCATTTCGGTCGGGTCGATCCAACAATAATACACACAAATTACACAATGCAGACGTAATCGTGTGGACTCGAATCTCCTATAGATAGACATTGATTATGGTATGTTCATGAACCAACTCTCAAGAAAAGGAATTATCCATTTCTTGCAACCTCGTTATGAGGGCACTTTTTCTTTTCTTTTCAACTTACCAAACAACAACCAAAAAACCAAAACTCAAACTCCATTTTTCTTGTCAAGATCGTGTTTTTATTTTGGTTCTTCCCAATTGTGTCTCGTCTTTTCAAAGATGGCCGAGACATCGATGTCCAGCCATGGTCACCAAACAAAACTGTTAGAGAGTTCACACGGAGAAAACTGTGAGTTTTGCGTTTTACCTAAACCTTCGGCATACCATTGTATAGAATGCGACGCAAACTTATGCGAAGACTGCTTCAAAATCCCCCAAGAGATTTCCCACGGTCATCACCAGGGTCACAATCTAAGACTAACGTTAACTTCAAAGCTACCCGATCCGAATGATCCGACTGCTGACTATTATGGTTTTTATTTCTTCATATGCAAAGGATGCAATTACATTTCTTATCCCCGTGGGCGTTACATATGCGACATTTGCGAGTATAGCATGTGTGTTGAGTGTGCGATATCGACAACAAGCAAGACGTCACTCGGATGGGAAATTAACGAGGAGTTCTCGCATTGGAGCGATGCCCACCAACTTGTGAGATGCAGGTTTAGAGAGTACGTTGTCGTGGTAGAACGGTTTCGATACGCTTGCATGATATGCCAGCTCTCAATGTGGGGGACGGGCTATGCTTGTCTTGAACTTAAATGCAACAACTTCATACACGAGTCGTGCATCGAGACATCTCGAGTCATGCACCATCCTTTGCACCGTCACCCTCTTACTCACCAAGTTTTCATCCTCGCTCCTTCGTATCTACGGTGTCGGGCTTGCTGGCAGCTACTCACCATGGAAAATCTAGCAACTTATAATTGCGACAAATGTAAGTTTGCATTGCATTTTCAATGTGCCGGTTCAACCCTCCGGCCCATGAAGTTTGAATCCCACGAACACAGTCTTGTAAGCGTTCTCACCGGAAACACTTCGTTTTGGTGTTACATTTGTAAAAAGCATGTCCAAAATCACGGTCTCCGTTGCATGCAATGCAAGAAGATGTTTCACGTCAAGTGTGTTTCCGTTCCGCGAGATTTGGAACACCGACATCATCACGAGCATAAACTTACTCTTATGGATGGATTGCCATACATATCTCGTAAATATATACAGAGCGAGTATTCATGTGATGTATGTGAGGGAATGATAAAGGAAGCAGCACATGTTCATGTTTATGGATGTAATGAGTGCAAGTTATATGCCCACATCGAATGCTTGCTAAGTAAGGTTAGTCCCTCTGTTCCCTTCTTATTATAAAAAAAAAATATTGCATTTTTTATTGTCACTAATCACATAAAAAGGATTACATCTATTTCAAATTTTCTAAAAATTTAGTTTTTTTGTTACATAGGAAGATGGATTTAAGCATTTTTCATCATCCTTGTGGCCAAAGAAGTATAATGATAAGCGACAGGAGGATTCCAGTCACTCAATTGACGAGGTATGAAAACTAATGAAATTCGGATCATATTATGTGTGTATATCCACTGATAGATATTGTTGATTGAATTAAACAGATAAAAAAGACGATCCATGACCATCCCTTGCGCTTGAAAGATCATGGGGCTAATAAACTTTGTCAAATGTGCATGCTTCAAATCAATGGCCAAGCCTACGCATGCGAGGATTGTCATGGCGATAATTTCTGGGTCCACGAGAAATGTGCGGCATTGCCTCAAACCTTAGACGACCATCCTTTTCATCCGAATCACAAGCTCTATCTCACTCGGCGTTCAGATACTTTCGTTGTATGTGAGGTCTGCGGATACGCTTCTCTGGGATTTCATTTCTCCTGCCGCGCTTGTAGATTCGTCATAGACGTCAAATGCGCGTTCCTAAGAGAGATCGGACAAACGTTCTACGATAAACACGATGGAAAGACCATAAAGCACGCTCTCCACCGAGGACATGAACTAACCCTTGTGAATTTCGGGACATATCAAACGGTACGGTGCTATATGTGCGGAGAAGAACTCTTAGGCCCATCATACAGCTGCACACAATGCGTAAGGTTCCGGGGTTTCCACAAAACTTGCATGGAATGGCCGAGTTTGGTCGAGGGACATCCTATTGCTCCTCAACATGTTCTTCAGCTTGATCACCCGGATCTGTGGTATCCGGAAGATCCAGAATGTTTTGCGTGTGGAGATCGAATAGAATCGTTGTTCGGCTACAAAGTTACCGGCCCAGAAAGAGGTATATTTTACCATATTGAATGTGGTAGTTCTCTGGTCCGTCCCTTAAGACGTCAAGGTCATGCCCATGAATTCTACTATGTGCACGACAAACCTTGTAAAGGTGTTCGTGGAGGTGGAAATAACGGCACGATTCTTAGATGCGCCTCTTGCCGGGAGGAAGTGAGGAATTCGTATTATCGATGTCTCAAATGCAATCTCTATTTCCATTTTGGATGTCTTCGTGATGGCGCGTGGTTACCACGGACCGCCAAACATAGACACCACGTCCATTGGCTGTCTCTCAAGGAGTACGCCTGTTATGGAGGTTACTACTGTGATATCTGTGAAGAGTCGAGATACTCTCAACATCCGTCATATGGATGTGACGACTGTGGATTCGTTGGGCATATCGAATGCATAGTATGCGAGGTACGATCTATACATTTGTCCATCTCTCATATATATATATATATATATGTATATGTGTATAGGTCTTGGAATATGCTTAATTTGTTCATGTTGTCTTATCAGGAAAACGCCTCCAGTGTGGTGCTGGAAGAGATTGAAAGTGACGGTATGAAGATTCAAGAGTGTTCGTCCGCCCCGTGAGACATTAGTCTGTTTATTTAAGGGAAAAAATCCTAAAAATTCCTAAACTTATATTTTGGAATAATATTAATTCCTAAACTTGTAGAAGTGCCTATTAATTTCCAAACTTGCAAAATTGAACAAGTTAAATCATAAACTTGTTAAACGGTTCCATATTCGTCCATAGCGTTATGCGCGCCACGTCGGATCGGTCAACTCGTTTTTTTGACCAAATAATGATATGGACATATGTGGAACCGTTTAACAAGTTCATGATTTAACGTGTTCAATTTTGCAAGTTTGGGAATTAATAGGCACCTCTACAAGTTTAGGAATTAATATTACTCCAAAATACAAGTTCAAATTTTTTAGGATTTTTGTGAATAAAATATGAATATCTTTTAATTTCTAAATTGTTTATGAATTGTTTTAGAAAAAATTATATTAAAAAGAATATTTCTAAATTAAATATATTTTTTAATAGTTATGAATATGTAATCAAACTGTGAAAACTAAAAAAAAGATAATAAAATAATATTGTGGAAGAAATGCACATCGAGCACATCACTATAATTTATTTATTTAAATAGATTATTCTAATGGCCCTAAATTAAGTTAAACCAATTGAATTAACAAAACATTTAATCAACGGTTCGTTCTTATCCAAAAACCTATTTATTTATTTATTTGTTTTGTTTTTATTCATACAAAACTTTTATTTAATTATTATTTACTTTGTTTTTTTTTTGCCAAATTAGTGGTTCTCATTTCTGGGTCAATGCTAAATTGTATTCAAATAATTTTCTTTGTTCTTTTTACTCTTCCTAATGAGATTAAAAATCATATTAAATCTCATATAATTTTTAGGATAAATGAATATTTATTCAAAAGAACAATTTTATTTTCATCCATAAATTGAGAAAAAAGAAATACAAGTGGAAAAAATATTCATTTGAATGTTGACACTTTTTTTTGGCAATATTATTAGTTTCTACCGGAAAAATATTTTTAAAAAATCCATGTCTTAATTAAGCATATAAGTTTGGTGGGTCCACGTTATTTACCCCCTTTCATTTTTTCCGAAATTTTTTTACGGAAATTTAAATAATATATTAGTATAATTTGTCTGCTTCTCAGATTACTCCAAACATTAAATTACAAAAAGAAAATTTGAAATTTTAAAATAATAAAGATAATCAAAGGCAAGAAAGAACAATAAAAAAATCTAAAAATTCCTAAATTTATAATTTGGAGTAATATTAATTCCTAAACTTGTAGAGGTGCCTATTAATTCCCAAACTTGCAAAATTGAACACGTTAAATCCTGAACTTGTTAAACGGTTCCATATTCGTCCATAGCATTATTTGGTCAAAAAAGCGAGTTGACCGATCCGACGTGGCACGTGACGTGGCGAGCCACGTCGGATCGATCAACTCGTTTTTTTTACCAAATAACGCTATGGACGAATATGGAACCGTTTAACAAGTTCAGGATTTAACGTGTTCAATTTTGCAAGTTTGGGAATTAATAGACACGTCTACAAGTTTAGGAATTAATATTACTCCAAAATACAAGTTCAGGAATTTTTAGGGTTTTTTCCCTTTATTTAAAGAACAATCTATTTATGTATCCATTTCATTGCATACTTGTATAGGATGGACGCATACTGCAAATAAATTTATGTATAACTCTATCATGTTGAAGGGATCTATTATATATATATATATATATATATTGTGAATATTAATAATAATTAGCCGTGATATCTAAAAGAGGTTCTATGTGACAAAATGAATACAGTTTTATGCATTTCAACGAATTTCGTCTTCTTTTTATTCTCTACTCAACACACACGACACCGACATCTTTTTATTTTTATTTTTATTTTTATTTTAAATGAGCTACACCATTAATTTAATTGTCCTGGACTTTTCACCTCGTTACACCAACCAGTATTAGTTGGTTTTGAAATTTGTTTCAAGACATGTTTACCATATTTTAAACATATATTGAAAATACTAAAAAGACCGGGTTAAATAGTCAAAATTTTAAATTATGAATATAGTTGGACTTAGTTGGGCCATGACTTTGTTTATCTACTTACCTATAAGCCTTTTTTTTTGGTAATTACATGTATCTTTGCTATATATATATATCCAAAACGAAGAAAGCCGGCATCATCGAATCTTAACTCTTTCAACGACACTTCTTGTCGGCTTTTTTGGCTTCGGTGCAGCTGCTGGTCCTGAATTCCTCACCAAATCCAAAACAAAGGTGAACGTTTTGGCTAATTTCCCCCGTCAAATGTTTTACATCTTGGTGTTTAAGCATGACTTGATAAATCTCAATTCCAAATTTGGATTTTTTTTTTAAATTTTTGGAGTAATTTTCTTGAAATGATAACCAAGTTGAAATGAGATTTCATCGTTCCAATAGTTATTTACGAAAAGGAAAAAAAAAAATCGGATAATGCAGGAATCGAATTTGCACTACATATTTGAACCAAAAAAAAAAAGAAAAAAGAAAGAAGCCAATATGAGAGTAGCAGTTGTCGGGGGTGGGATAAGTGGATTGGGATCTGCATATGTTCTTGCAAGAGAAGGAGTTGAAGTTGTGTTGTACGAGAGAGATGAAAACTTGGGAGGCCATGCTAAAACGGTGCGTTTCGATGGTGCTGACGTGGACCTCGGTTTCATGATCTTCAACCGCGTACGTGTTTTTTCCTCTCACTCTTTCTCTGTTTGAAATTTGAATGATTCTTTAAAAGACCAAGATCTTGCTAATCTCTTCCTCGACTCGGACATAACAGGTAACGTACCCGAACATGATGGAGCTCTTCGAGGATCTCGGAGTGGACATGGAGGTTTCAGACATGTCTTTCTCTGTCAGCCTCGAAAATGGCGGAGGACTCGAATGGGGAAGTCGAAACGGCTTCTCGAGCTTGTTTGCTCAGAAGAGCAACGTCTTCAATACCCATTTCTGGCAAATGATCAGAGAAATCGTCAAGTTTCCCGATGATGTTTCGAGATACATTGACCCTCTTGAGAGCAACCCTAATCTTGATCGTACTGAGACTTTGGGGCAATTTCTCAACTCTCATGGCTATTCAGAATTGTTTCGAAAGGCTTATCTGGTGAGAATCTTTTGCACCTTTGATCCAGATTTTCTTGCGTTTTCTTGCTCGATAAGGCAAATTAGACGACGGTTTTCTGGTACAGGTGCCGATTTGCGGTTCGATATGGTCATGCCCTTCTGATCGCGTCCTGACCTTCCCTGCTTTCTCTGTTCTTTCTTTCTGCCGAAACCATCAAGCGTTTCAGGTTCGTGTAAAACCCGAGAGATTATGCTACCATGTTCATACGTTTTATCGACGATTCTTAACTCGATCTACCGTTTTCAGCTCTTTGGAAGGCCGCAGTGGCTGACCGTTGCAGGACGTTCGCATAGTTATGTGGCAAAGGTACTGAATCCTCCGTTAAATCAACTGACGATGGACTTTTTCGAACATTACGTGTAACTCTGTCTTGGACTGAACAGGTTAGGACGGAACTGGAGCGACGAGGAGGCAGAATCAGAACAAGCTGTGATGTACAGTTGGTTTCTACTTCTGATAATGGTCGGTCCGTGCATATTCCGTCTCATGCAACTTTCTTGAGTTTGTTGCAACTTTATTCAATTACTAATATTTGGCTCACTAAATATGTAGGTGTTACTGTTAGGAATGGAGATGGCTCAGAGGAAGCATTCGATCGATGTATATTAGCAACGCACGCTCCAGATGCTCTGAGATTGGTCGGGGAACAAGCCACATTCGATGAAAGGAGGATCCTTGGTGCTTTCCAATACGTCGACAGGTATCTTATGTCGATATTCTCCGATCCGAGAGAATCGTAAAATCTGCAGAAGTAATTCATTTACATGTTCTCGTCCACTTGCTCAGCGATATATATCTCCACCGTGACAAAGATTTCATGCCCCGAAACCCGACAGCATGGGGGGCATGGAATTTCCTTGGAAGTACGGAAAACAAAGTATGCCTAACGTATTGGCTCAATCTAATTCAGGTACATAAAACAATCTCTCTCGGAATGATGAGAATGATGAATAAACGGATCATCTATAATGGTTTGAACAATCCATCAATGTGTGCAGAATCTTGGAGAGAATAGCGAACTGTTCTTCGTGACACTAAATCCCGATCATACCCCGAAGAAGACGTTGCTCAAATGGACCACTAGTCACCCTTTTCCTTCTGTTTCTGCCTGGACGGCTTCGCAAGAGTTGTACAAGATTCAGGGAAAACGTGGGCTATGGTTCTGCGGTGCATATCAAGGTGAGTATATTGATTTCGAACATGAAGATTTTTCCCGCGGCTTTTGTTTTGAACAAGAAAGAATAGTTCTTCTTGTTTCATCTAAACCTTGTCATGGGTTTTTTCTCTTTCAGGCTACGGTTTCCATGAAGACGGGCTAAAGGCAATGATCGAATGCTATACAAACTCTTTCCTTTTAGGTTCGTATTGTTGGTTTTATCGAAAGTTTTGTAACTTTCGGTGAATACAATTATCAGGCTGGTATAGCGGCTGCTCAAGGTATGCTAGGGAAAGCTGCCGCTCTTCTGAGC